AATATAAAATTCTCTATACACAGTCAATATAAATGGGAATTATGAACATGGTTAGCTTTAGAGCAAAGATATCTACATTTTATCTTCACAAATCAGGATCAAATGATGCTTGTATGAAGAGATAGAAGTTTGTAAATTTGTATACCCCATCCCCAAATGATGTAATAGCGTAGGACATTTATTTTCTGCAATTTACCGCTTTTATATAAAATGCTAGTAATTAGGGTGTGTATGGCAAGATTTAAAATCAATACTTAGACAACCCTAATTGAAGAACAACAATGCATGAAAAATAAACACTTGCACACTTGCACCTCTAGGGTTAACTCTACTTGTTGCCTTGAGAAAATGGTTATGTTATGCATGTGAGACACTTTAGCAAAAACAATCAAAATACAAGATCATAGTCCCTCGATGAAGTCTCGAATGTTACCTTCAAAATGATCTTATACCATTAAGAAAAATGCTAAGGTATCTCACAACATTGCATTTTATGACTATACGATGACCCACGCCTGTCCCTTCACATCGGATGATGGGGCTTCTTATCAATAAATGGTAAGATAGCAATATCTAAAGGAGGAGGAAAATAACTAAGACTTTTTGAGTAGGTAGAACATTCATAGTTTCTTGCTCACAACCATCTTCAAAACATCATTCAAAAATACACCAACACTTTCAAACATGAAATATTTTCAAAAGTCAACACTTTGCATGCATTCTTATAGAGACGAGAATCATTACAAAGTTCGCCTAAACGATGACACTTTTCAAAAATACTTTCAAAACAAATCACAAACACATTTTAAACAAATAATTTCAAAGTGAACTAACAACTAAGAGCCCGTAGATAACTACGGATGAAAAGGGTGCTAACACCTTCCCTTTTCATAACCTACCCCCCGAACTCAAGAAAATTCTCAAAAGGTCTTTCATGTTCTTTTCACCCTTTCCTTTATTGGATAAAAGAAAAGTCGGTGGCGACTCTTGCTATCCACAATAATTGCGATAAAACGCAAAACACCCAAGTCAGTTCTCCCACCGTATTACACTATGGTTATAAGCTACAAGATCTAAATAAAACCAAAACACAATTGCAACAAAACAAAAATAAAGGAAATGTGAATGGCACACTAATGCTTCAAACACAAAATCTAAAGCATATGCATATCCATCACAAAAACCTAAAGCATGAACATTAATAAGCCATTAATTTATGAAAGAAACCCTAAACATTCATAAAAAGCGTCAGAGAGATGATGGTAACGTACCAGAAATGATATTCGAAGAGGATGGTGAAGATTTCTCTTTCAAAAATGATATTCGATGAGGATAATGAAGATTTCGTTTCTAGAAATGATATTCTCTATTGCTGTCATCTTTTCGCTAGGGAACCCCTGCATGTTATGAATGAAATAAAGTACCTGCTATGTTTTAATATTGTGGAAAAAAATTCACTACGGTTCTAAGCGTCAACTGTAGTGATATATGAAATTTATTACCACAGTTGAATATAACTACATTAGTTGTAATACTTTTAATTTTTAAATAAAAAAAATATTAAGGGACACACGCTTATTTTTAATGTAAAAACGGAAAAATGTTGAGGATGAGATTTGAAGCTTGTCACTTAAAATATATGACGCCGGTTCTTTATAGGATCAGTGATGAAAAGTTTCTTAATAAAATAAAAAAACATGGGCGTAAAAACTTTGATATGACTATGGTGGATTAATGATCGTGGTAATATTGTGTTACTGAATGTGTTTTTCGTAGTAGTAGTGTTATATTTATCTGTGTTGTTGTTCGTCCTTCACTATTATAATACTGATGTATTTATAACCCCAAGGATTTGAACCGAATCTCCCTAGAATATAGTGTGAAAAATATATTCATCCTCTATAAAATGTAGTTTTAATGAAGACAAGGATTTATAAAGACTATCAAAGAAGAAAGAGCTTAAAAAGTCACATGATAAATGCTTGCCAATTATGAATCTTAAATCAAGATGTTCGATCATGATTACGATTAATGAATACAATGATGATCAAAGAATAAAAAGATTAAGATATTGATGGACAAGTGTTGACATATGATGAATCTAATCAAGAGAAGAATTAAGCTAATGGATCATGTTTAAAGGTTTATTATAATCCATATTATATAACTTTAGATGCTCAAAATATATGACACGTTTTTATCTATAAAGTTCATTTACCATCATGCATTCGAAACACTTAAGCATTGTCATTTAAAAACCTATTTTTCCATTTTTAACTAGTGTAAATGGTTGCACTAAACTGGTAATCAATTACCAGTTCATTATGTTTTTCATAAATTATGACAGTTTAAATTGTCATAACAACACTTTCATAACCTTTGATTTTATTGTAACGTTCATTCTGTTTGAAAATTTCAAACAATGAAAGAGTGGTGACCGATTACACTCTATTAGTAACCAGTTACACATTAAAATAACAATTTTCATGAAAAAAATTCATTCTAAACCTTGGAAAAACTTCATGAAAAATCTCCATACATATGCATCTTCTCTTAGAGGTTTCTTACGATGTATATAAGACTATATATATCAGAACTTCAACACACCTCTTGCATACATATATTTTCATACCATTCAAATCATTTATCAAGTGTTCATACAACTTTAACAATGAAACTTTGTGTATAACTTCCATATCATTCAAAGAGTTTCATTCAAACATTTTAAACACTTAAGTATGTAAGTTTGAATTGTGATCAAGAGAAAGAGAAGAATCATTTACTTGGGGTACAAGACAAAACAAGTTTATTCAAATTACTAAAAGTGTAATTTGAATTAATCATCAATTTTATGGTGATAATTCGTTTTTATAAAATGTCATTTGAATTAGATTGATTCAAATTCCACCGTAGTGTTTGGTGTTTTGTGAAAAGTTTTTTAAATTGGATTGATTCAAAGTCCACCGTAGTGTTTGGTATTTTGTGAGAAATGTCCTTTTAATTGGAGTGTTTCAAAGTCCACCATAAGTTTGGTGTTTGTGCGTGTTTAAGAATGTTGTAAAGAAGTCTCGGTGTGAGACTTGTACAAGGATCTAAACATAATGGAAAATCCTTCAAGGTGTGAAAAGACTAGATGTACCATTGGTTGATAAGGGGAACTAGTATAATTGCTTTGTGTCCTTTATTTTTCAGCACTTTAATTAGCATTTTATTATCTTAAGAACATAACATATACACAAATTTCGGAAAAATAACAAGTTAATAATTGTTGCGCAAACAAGAGAAAAATCAGGCAACCTTAATTAACCCCTACTTAGGTTGTATCTCACAGTTACATATAGCAACCACCACATAAATGAGTGGTTAATTTCCTGAAATCCAAGAGGTGTAGTTAAGTCCCACGCCTTTCTATATAATATATGTTGATCTGACATACACTCTAGAACGATTGTATGTTGTGGGTGAAGAAATGAGAGGTTCAGACGATACTTCTGGACAAGGAACAGTCGAACTAATGAAAGGGTGTCTCGAGAAGGTCGAAAAGCTAATCGTATGTCACTCGGCCCGCCCCAAGGTCTCTCTCAATTATGTTGGACAAGTGACTTCAGACACAACACAAGGGGATAAAGTATGGTATTTAAAATTTGTGATTACTTTTATAATTTTCTCGATTAACCTTGAAATTGTGATATTAGTTTTTTAAGAGTAAATAACACTAGAAATAAAAACATTAGATAATTGAAAATAAAGAGAATAAGGGTTAGATAGATTGTGCCAGAGAGTTGTCCAGGTTTGACTGAACGTTGACCTAGTCTTATTCCTAAGAAATCTTCTTGAGATTTTGACTACAATTTTTTTAGCTTTTACGGGTATTGATCTTGAGATTATTATAATTTTATCCCTAACCAAGTATAACTTTTACCACATGCTAAACTAATGAACCTTCTTAAAGATTTTCAGAGTGATCTCAATATCGGAAACAACTTTTTATGGGGATGTTCTAGAAACAAAAATAAAGATTTTATGATTGATTTATTTCACGAACTAAACTCAATCTTCCAAGAGTATCACACTCTCAAGAATTAAAAAATCAGCAAGACCACTTATAAACTCTTCCTCACAAGTAAGATTTCACTCAAAAGCACTATGATAACTTTAAATGAAAAGAAATATTTGAAGAAGAGAAAATAGAGGGATGAATTAAAAAAAAATATATAAATTTTTGGAAAATGACGTGAAATAATAAGGAGGCAAACCTCCTTTATATAAATTGAAAAAATCAAAAAAGAAAATAATTCATAGACAGGACTGATGAATCAATAGATTGACATAACCCATCCAAAAATAATAAAAAATGGTTTGAGTTAGATAATTAAATATATATGAGTTTAAAAATTAAAAATCTATTAAAAAATTGGTTTTGAATAAAACCGGACTGAAAGCCAAAAGAGTAAGTACAATTTTGGTGCTAGTTGTTTAATTGTATTAAAGGGTAAAAAAAAAATTGAAAGAAAATATAAAAATCTATAAACTAACATCTAAAAACACTAGTATAATAAGCTAATAAGATAATTTTTTTTTTTTTGAAAAGTAATAAGAGAAGCTTTTGAACAAAATAAATAATTTAATCAATCAGTCTTATAAGTTATTTCAAGAAGCTATAAGCTAGCTTATTTAATTGATATTACGAGTCTAAATAGTTAAAAATCTTGAATTAAAATATAAGAGTAAGGAGTGTACTGTATCAGACAAGTCTGAAATGCGAATAGCAAAGTTCTGTAGCTACTATTCTGAAAGCCCAAATCTATCGGGCTTAAAGACCCACGAGAATCTTTGGTCTTTATTTTGCATACATGATAAATGACTCTTCTCGTGGGTGGTGGCTGTTTGTCTCTTTCCTGAACTCATTCGACGATTTCGTCTTCTCCCGTGCCTCTGGTAAGTTCTTTTTTTTTTTTCTTACGATCTACAAACCCTAGCTTCTCAACACCTTTTTTTTTTTATTGTTTATGACTATAATCTCTTTGATTTACATGCAAATTTGCGAAGAAAAAATGATTTAGGGTTAGATTGAACTTTTCGTTGCAAATCATTGAATAATCGACCCAATTCGTGCTCTCTCGCTTGAAATATCGCATCAGATCTAAATATCTACGATTATCATGATCAAATTGAAATATTCTCTTATTCTTTTGTTTATAGGAAAACAATTGTTGTGTAATTGTGTTTGGTTTTGAATTTAGGTTTTGGATTGTAAACCTTATTGGATTTTCTGATAGAAATTTTATTTCATAGAAAATTAATAAATAAGAAGCTACTCCCTCCATTTCATGTTAAATGCTGTTTAAGGTTATGTACAATTCATTCTTAAGTTGTAAATGATTTAGTTTACCAATTTTTATAATTAAAATGAGTTTATAATGTCTACTTTTGAGCTATGTAGTGCCGGCACCTTTGAAAAAAGTGTGTCTATGTCATATGTCTGATTACGTGTCAGTGTTGGTGCCGTGTTTGTGGTGTTGGTGCTTCATAGCTTTTGAGAATGAGTAGCTTTAACTTTTGTCTTCATTGAGAATGCAACTTGTAGCGTGTTTGATTTGTTTGGTGGGTTAAGAGATCTGCTATAAAGGGTTTTGCTGAAATGATTGACAAGTGAGTTCAGAGTGGCAATGGCTCCTTTGTTCCTCTGCATATTTTGTCTTTCTCTTTGCCATTTGTTTCCTTCACTTTCTTGTGTTCAGAGATGTACTATCAGATTGATTTATTACATTGGTCAGTTTGTTTTGAACTGTATTCAAGTTTCTTATTCTTTCCATCTATGTTGGCCTTTGTTTACTGCTATATTCAATTGACTCTTTAAGTGTTTCTGAGCTGAGCTTTTTACACATTGAAAAAATAAGTTCTTGTCCTGAATTGTAGACTATGTTGGCTTGTAGAAATTTCATGAAGCAACGTTTCATTTTGTGATTGTGTTATCTTGTTGATTGTGTTATCAGATTGGTTTTAACATTTGTCAGTTTGTTTTGATCTTTATTCAAGTTTCATATATTTGTGATTTGCAGTGTTCACAACTTAAAGACAGAAGAAAATGTCTGGTCCTAGGATTGCTCATGCTACCTTGAAGGGTCCAAGTGTTGTAAAGGAGATAATAATTGGAATAACACTTGGTATAGCTGCTGGTGGTCTCTGGAAGATGCATCACTGGAATGAACAGAAAAAGACCAGGACCTTTTACGATTTATTGGAAAAGGGTGAGATTAGTGTTATTGCAGAGGAAGAGTAAAAATGACGTGTGTCTATTCTTTCCATCTACAGGCTATTTTGTTTACTGTTATATTCAATTGGCTCTTTAAGTGTATCTGCGCCGAGCTATTTACACATTGAAAAAATAAGTTGTTGCCCTGAATTGTTGACTGACTATGTTGGCTTGTAGAAATTTTATGAAACAATGTTTCATTGTGTTTGTGTTGTCTTGTTGATGTTCCTCCAAAAGTGTAGTTTTTTACATATTTTTCCCGGCTGTATTATTAGAATTAACAGGTGTATAAGACCAGCATTTTATGTCACCACATGGCAAGTATTCAGTGTTTTGTTGGTAAATTATAATATTTGTTAACCTTTCCATCTAATCCTAAATTTTCAAACTGTACAACTTTACAAGTACAGACTTCAGTATTAGGAGGCAAAAGTGTATCCTAGAATATTACCTAGAATATCCTGGTATTCAAATTTAAACTGCATCCAAATGTGGTGTATCTCGTTACTTGAATTTAACCTGTATCCAAATGTGGTGTATCTTGTTACTTGAATTTAAACTGTAAATTTCTCTGTATGATTATGATGTCAAGCTTGTTTAATTGTTATGTTATTCCTCCACCTGCTTTTGGGACAACATATCATGATTTCTTTTGGTATGATAAAGTTGGACTTTTAGGAGTGTTGGGCTTTGACATTGCAATAGATTTTCTTTGAATTAGTGACCAAGAGTTTTCATTGTTTTAATATAGTTGCGACTAAACTTAATTGTAGAGTGCAACTACCCTGACATTGAAACAGCGTAGCAGTTTAACCACTCTTCCTACTCCCTTCCCCGTCAAGTCTCAAATTGCAAAATATTTGATGATTATTTCTTGCCCGTGTTTTCTCCTTTTGAGGATCATATCCGAGATTTGTCTGGCTGTGGGTACCATGTTGTGGGAGTCTAGTCTCTTCTACTACTAGACTCAACCCTCACTTTTTTTGCGGCATATCCCACTTAAGTCTGGTAGGAAAGGTCGAAAGCCTACTGTTGTATGGATGGTAATTTTGCAACCTCTAGTAGGAAAGATCAGGGTAATCATTGACGGCGTAACACCCGATGGGCGGGGTATTAAATGGATTATGTTCGTTTTTTGGGTAGTTAGTGTTAGGAATACAATGGAGTACAATCTTTTATGAAATATTATTTTCAACTTTGAACATGACTTGTAAAAAAAGACTTTGGACTATTAGTATATAGATGACTTCCAGAACCAGTATGATCCTTTTTTGGTTTCATGGGTGAAACTAGTGATTATGTTGTTAGAGTATCACTTAAGTTACCTTCTACAAAGATAAGAACCGCAAACTCATAACGCATTACAAGAAAATCCTTTCCAAGTGCGAGCCTCAGTTCTCAAGTCGTAAGTGATAATTTCCTACCGCATGCTCAACACTGGCACGTTTCTGAAGCCAGTTGCTTTTGCATTCTTACCCAAATTTTAGTCATTGAAGTGAACACAGATACGCAACAAATTGAGATGACATGTATTTTGTTTGTTTAGTAGTATTATCTTACAGCAAATATCTAAACACTAGGTTGTCTAAAATACGAGAAGTACGTGTTGATGGACGGCTGATATTTTCACTTCCAAACAAACATTTTTCTTCTAGAATACCAAAATATCAAGATTTTTATTATGACTATAATCCAAAATATTTAAGTTTCAAAAATATTTGCATCACTAAATTAAAGTGATGAGATTGAAATAAAAGAAAATGCTATCTTAAAACAGGCCAACGTGGAAGATATAAGAGGTTGTGAAAAAGATAAGAATTATGCGTCCAGAAATATTGACCGGCATTGGTTATATATTTTGCCATAACGTACTTCAATAAACTAAACCTCATCTTTGTTAACCCAACAACAACAAAAAACTCAATAGCTGCAACAATGGCAGCAACAATGGCTAGTATGAGTCTTTCAACTCCCCGAGTAATTTTCAACAGACCAGAGTCACTTCAAAAGTGTCAACCCATCAGGTTGGCACCAGTTTTCATGCTCAACCAAAAGAGAACCGGCACAGTGAGTTCGGGCAGGATGTTAAGCATTAGACCCGTACGTGCATCACCGGATAGCATAACTGGAAAGGTGGAAGAGAGCATAAAGAACGCAGAGGAGACATGTGCAGGAGACGCCACTAGCGGTGAGTGTGTGGCGGCTTGGGATGAGGTGGAGGAACTGAGCGCGGCGGCGAGCCACGCCAGGGATAAGAATAAGGGGTCGGACCCTCTTGAGGAATACTGCAAGGACAACCCGGAGACTGATGAGTGCCGCACCTATGATAACTGATTGATACTATCCATTCAAATAAAAACTCCATTTTATTATAATTTCTGTTGTGTATTAATTTTTATTGAAGTAAAGCTTGAATAATTCATATATACTATCTTTACAAGTAAACTACTCATCCTATTACTCTTGTTTATAATTCTAGCATAACGTCAAATTTTAATTATTTTAAAATAAGCAATTATTTGAGGTTAATTTGTCTTTTTTTATTTTTTATTTGTTATGCCCACTATTGAAGACACAACTTATATGAGTATTCGTATATTTTGTAACTTTTTAATGCTAAGCAATCAAAAGAAATTAAATTTTAAAAAAACAATTTTACGACAAGATTTCCGAAATTAAAACTAGTCCACATGTTTTGATTTTATTACCAATTTATTTTATTTTTCCCTAAGTTCATACTTGTTTGATACCTCTTTATATAAGAGATCCGTGTTTTACTGATCAATTTGCACACATGTTCCTTCCATTAGAGAGTGGGTAAGAGAGAGATCAATTGCAAAGTATATATCTTAAAATTTGAGCTACTATCAAATATGATGATGAAACGGATTTGAAGAATCTGCAAAAGGGTCCAAGGACGTTTAGATTTCGATTCCATAACAATTTCAATAGTTTCAAAAAAGTCTACCAATATCCGCCTTGTCCAAATTTCTAAAGAAGCTGCTATCAAGTATCAACATTGCCTCACTAAAAAAAGCATGAGAGAAAAGTGCACTCTTCACTACACGCCTTAAAAACTACCGACCACCATCAGCACCGCCTTGTGTTGATTCAGCGCCACCTTCTGATCATTATGTCAACATTCTTAATCCCATGGGCATATCTAGATGACAACACCAAATATAAATCTCTTGAGAAGATGAACCCCAAAAGTCACAAAATATTCACTCAAGCTCTTTCGAATGTTTGTAACATCTCGGATCATATCTACCTCAGCCACGTGTTAAGGGCAATAGATTAGTCATCTCAATCCCCGAGCAGGAATACCTATCAGGGATAAAAGCCATCTCAATCTCTTGAGAGGATAATTTGACCAAAAGGTTCACCACCTTTAACCGTCACTGCCTTGAAAAACAAGCTAATTCCTCTTTGGAAGAATCTCTCAAGATGGGGCATCACTTCACTTGAAAAGGAATTTTACGACTTTTCCTTCTCATTGCTAGAGGATGTTTGTAGAGCTAGGTTGGTTCCTTCATGGAACTTGGACCCTGGCTTTTTGGAATTTTTTGCTTGGATGAAGGACTTTAATCCAAACCTACAAAGGAATACAACTGCACCGGTCTGGGTAAGATTCTTTGGTTTGGCGCAAGAGTGTTGGAGGTCAAAGATTATCTTTGTTATTGCTACTAGCATTGAGATCCCTATCTACACTGATGCCATAACTGCTAAATAAATGTTTGATAAAACATTCCATCATTATGTCAGAGTTTTAGTGGATATGGATTTGACTCAACCTCTAAGAGAAAAGGTGTTAGTGAAAAGGCAAGGTTTTGCATCTTTGGTGGAGCAGAGTTATGACAACCTCCCTAATTTTTGGAATCACTACATAATGATTGGTCATTGCATTGACCAATACAAACGATTAAAGAATGATGGACTATATTCCAAAGTGATGCAAGAGAAATGTGAAGCTAGAATAGTTAAAATCAAGACTAATTTTGTGCAAGTCAAATATGGTAGAAAGACGACCACTCTTGAAGCAGAGAAATCTAATAATATGGAACCAATTGAGGAAGTCTCAAAGAAAGGTAAGTAAGTGGTGGTTGATTCTACACCAATGATGCAAAACAACAAAGGCATTGAGCCTAACAATCATGGAGTGATATTATCTAACAAATGTGAGGTATTGAACAATGAGGACTTAGAAGCTCTTGCCTATGAGGATTTACAAGTTAGTAGTGACTAGGTAGGTGTATAGAGTTGATGTTAAGGATAACTCTAGCTCTCAAGAGTCAATTTGTTGATGCTCGCCTTATTTTGCTAGATTGATGATAGAGTTATGGATCAAGAGGTCAGTCTTTGCAAGAATCAGTAGAACATGAAATTGCTTAAAGAGTTATGGGCCAACATGGCTGAAGAAGATGAAGGTGAAAAAAATACATAAAAGGGGGGATTTGAATTATGTATCGGATAACTTTTGTTTTTTAGAATAACAACTTCTAAATCTGAAAAGTTCAGATTCTAAGCTAGAGTAAGCAGCAGTGAAATATTATAAAATATAGAAGTAATAAGTAAATAACACACATAAATTATCTTGGTTCCTCTATAACGAGAGTAGTTAACCCCCCTTGCCACACAAGAGTTTTTCACTATAATCAGAACCTGATTACAACTTGTTTAGACATACCCGTCCAAGACATCCTGCTCAATCACACCTGAAGGAGACTTTCTTGCCTAAACTCACAGTTAAGGACTTTCTGCTCAATCACACCTGAAAGAGACTTTCTTGCCTAAACTCACAGTTCAGGACTTTCTGCTCAATCACAGCTGAAAGATAATTTATAGCCTAAACTCACAGTTCAGGACTTCCTGCTCAATCACACCTGAAAGATACTTTTACAAATTCTAAACAAGCTGTTTAAGATTTTAAAAAGATGTACCTGATATACAATCATAGGTACAAATAATACATCACAAGTAAATACCTTGTTACTTGAGATTTCTAAGATATAAAAGTCTAAGAAACTCTCAAGACTATGTGCAACCACATCAACTATATACAAAAGCTTATAGAGCAAAACAATTCTTGTTCTTGTTGTGATATATTGTTGTATATTGGTGTAACATCTTTTGAATCTTCAACTCATTATATAGAGGGAACAAAAGAAACGTTGAAGGCTTATTTGCACAAGTGTCTTTGCTGAAGAAGTGGTTTCCAAGAGAGAGACATTGGAGTAGATACGATGAGGATCTTCATTTTCTGAATAATTTCTTTATCCACTGTGTCTTTCTCAAGTGAGGCGTCTATATGCATGCCATAGTAGACTAAAAAAATCATGTCAATCATCCTTGAGCCTTGCGCTAAAACCTCTAGTTGGCTTTCTCCATAATTGTGGCAATTGATAAGATGAAGCTGCTTTTGCATATAGTACGGGCCAAAAGGCATTGTACTATGTTTCTATCATGGCGCTTGAAGTTCTATTTGAACATCAGAGGCTGACTCAAATCATTCAATAAGGCGATGAGGTTCTATTTGAAAATCGGATGTTGGTCCATTAGAATTTGAATTATATGCTTATTCTTTAGCCATTTAACTGGGTCAGAACCTAGTTAATTTCAAGCTTAATGATCCTGCACACTTAAACAAATGTTAGTATACTCTATTATTCTTTATGTACTTTGTTATCATCAAAATTCAAGGAGTTTGAACATATTTTGTTCCAACAATCTTCCCCTTTTTGATGATGACAAACAAGAGTATTTAAGAACAATGGTTGGTCAGTTTAAACAACTTGATAACATTAGAGTCTGAGATTGGTAAGCTCCCCCCTTGAGTTTAACAGCCCATAGGATGAGGTTTGTAAGCCCTCTCTAAGTTCTATCCAAGTTATTTAAATTAATTTTAACTTGACAACTTCATAGTCTGATGTTTGTAAGATCTCGAAGAATTTTAATAATTCATAGGCTGAGTTTTGTAAGACCCCCCTCCCCCTTAAGTTCTATCCAAGTTATTAACCTTTTTGTTTAAAAATAATCATAATGTTTTTCTCATATATGCTTAAAGTGGGTTCAGGATCTTGATAGCAAACATAGAAAATGTTTTTTATTAAAATTTTAAATACTTTCATATTTCTTCCCCTTTTTTCATCAACAAAAAGTAAATAAAAAGAGTAGAGAGAGAAAAAGATACTGAATAAAAAGATTCTGCTCAGTATGGATAGTAAAAACAATAGAGAGTAAAAGAGGTAGTAGGTGAACAATCAGTGAAAAACAAAAACTTGTTGATGGGCAAACATTCAGACTACAAATACCAAGATGGTCAAAGTGAGACTCTAATAGAGTAGCATAGGTAACAAGACTCGAGAAGCACATCCAAAAGATTCGAAAGATCTTTTCCAAAGAAATTTTCTCTATAAAAGCATAAGACATAGAGCTTAATTAGATCACCCTTCTCTTTCAGGTTTATACGATTCATCACTATGGGTAGGCAAAAACCATCAAAGATAAAGAGAGGTGCTAAGAAAGTTGTGAATCAAAAGAAGCAATCTAGATAAGAGAAACAAAATCCTGAGAAGGATTCACCAACTCATGTTCACTTTGTCATAGACTTAGAAAGTACTTATGGTGGAGTTACTACTCAAAGCAAAAGTAGAGCGTCTAAAGCAACACAAAGCAGGCCCAACACGGGGGAAGAATCACCTCCAGCTGAAGATAAGGGTGGACAACACTATTTGGATTATCTGGATAAGATGATGAATCATCCAGAAAGTTCCATAGATAGTTCTTATATGATCTTGTCTTTATTTTGTAAAAGTCTTAAAATCTCATCTTTGTACTGGCTTCTTTAATGAATCAACACTCTTTATTTTACTATGCTTGTCTCATTTTAGCACATCCATCAAATTAGTAGAGTATTCTTAGTCATCAATCAATTTAAATTAAAGGCATGCATTTTAAATAAACACATAAAGCAGAAAAAAGATGATGAAAGTACATAAAATGGACAATTTTCAAAGTCTTATTGGTTGAAGAGAAGGCAAGCACTATTTCCACAAGTTTCAAAACATGATCAGATTTCGACAAAAATAGCTTTCCAAGGCAATCTTTAATGTAGATTTGAATGTTACCCAAAATTTCTTCTAAAAAGATCGACATTTTGTGTGAACATTCTCATCTCATCCCACTTCAAAGAAAAGAATGGGAAAATCAAAGCAGTTCAAGGCAAAAGAGAGATTTCCAGAAGGAGATGTCTATTTTGATGAAGAAGCAAGCCATGGAAACTAAGATCAAGGAGAAGAAAGTTTCAAAGATAGTAACCTTCTTAGCTGTTGGAG